TACATATAAAATTATATATATTATACATAAAATGTCCAGGTTTTCAGTTTAACATAATTAAGAGTTTTAATAAGGCAATCAACATAAAATCTAATTCTTCTAACTAATTATGGAAGAGTCAGAGACAGATTCATCTATGTATACATATTAATGCAGCATTTTAAACCAGAAGACTGCTAATTAAGAAAAGTTTAGCACTGGCTTTAAACAAGAATGTTAACATATGCAAATCTGTCGCACAGTCTGATTTCTTGTAGCTGCTTTTACTCTAGAGATTACATCATTTACAAGAACAGATTAGGCAAACCAGAACTATTGTAATACATTGAAAACAGCCCATTTAATCCAAATGAGAGAAAGGCAAATTGCCAGTGTAAGAGTGCCCTCTTCCGTTCAGAAGTTAACACTAAAGTAACTATTGTATTGCAACTTTTCATTTCTCATGTTACTATGAATGTACATTCTCCAGCAAAGACAGATGAACAAGCATGAAATTGTCACTACTATACATCCATGGCTAAGTAAACTGAAAGAGCTCTCATAAAAAGTATCTCTGCTTGATAATGTGAACTATTCAAAATATGTACACATTTAAAAAGTAAGGAATGTGAAGGCCTCTCTCAATATTCTGGACTGCAAAAGTAAAAAGGCACCCTGTCCACAGCAGATCCCATTGGAAGGAAGGCATATATTAGATTTTGGAAGGGGGAACAGGAAAGCCAAAATTTCTTACTATTTAATGAGCTGATCATACAAGACATTTCCAAATCTGCCATCTTCATTTTTAACTAATATTTTCCCTTTGATTTTCAGTTGAGCATGTGCCAACAACAGCATGGAAGTCAGTGTAAGCATGTTTGTTTATTTTCATGAAATAGAATATTTATTTTATTGATGTTACTCACTAGAATAAGCAAGCATTAGTGTAAGTTTTGACCGACTATTTCATTTGTAAATATCACTTCCTCTTCCACATGCTGATGTCTACCTCTCCACATGCCTACAGATACTCAAATGTATACTATTGCCATCTACTCAGAAATCTGATAGAGCCATTCCCAGTTTTGCAAACTAACCATGCAGGAAATAAAAGGATTCAAATATATTTGGGGGGACAAATCATTATGTTATGATACCAAATTGCAACGTGCTAAAGTCAGCACTTAATTTTTATGATACTGTGATGATGTGTAAGAACATCATGATAAGACTGTCCAAGACAATCAAGCTTAAACTATGGCTGTGGTCAGAAAAGTAATCATGTGTCTTTTCTCTTTCTCAACCAATATGCTCCCTGTGTTTTTTCAGTCTTACATGCTTAAATTACAAAAGAAAGTAATTATTTAATATTCTTATTAGCACTGCAGTACTTATATAGGTATAGAAAAGTGAACTGGATTTGTTTCTGGTCTGTGTACTGATGGTACAAGTAGCATTCTATACTGAGAATGATGCATTAGACAGAAATAACTTAGCTTGACTTAAATTCTGAGTTTCAAGGGCTGGCAACTAGAAAAAAACCATTTACACTTGTAATCTTGATTAGGTGTGATCCAAAGATCTTTGATTCACAAACATGTGAAACTCTACAATGCTGTTTTCACAGAATTATTTTTCAGCATAGAACCCCACTATAAGGGTCCAATTTTATTTGTATTTTACTGTTAAGTGTCACTAACTCATGGGCGTAAATTTAATTTAGCTTACTATTAAAGACCAGATTCTTATCTAGCATGGACTGCTGTAGTTCCACTGATTTCAATGGAGCCATGCAGATTTACATCACTTAAGGATGTACCCCAAAGACTGACATCAAATCCACCACTCCTAGCCAGCTCCTTCTGGGTAGTTTTCCAATATGATAGAGAAGCTAAGATCAAAGCATGTTTCTCAATTTCTGTCTCATGCTCCAAAACAACAGAAATGAATGTTTCTTAGACAAAGCACATCTCTTTGACAAGTAATCAGCATGTTATCATTATGCTCTGTAAATGTTCAAGCTAAATTATGTGTCTCCACCTTGTGGTAGCATGCACTTAAGCAGGAAAATTGAAATGAGAGATACAGGTTAATGAAGAAGGAATAGATACTTGCCAGACTAAGCAAAAAGGAAAGTTCATGTGAAAAGGGAATTTTGTTGTGAGCTGAAGCTAAAATAAAGCTAACATGCAATTTTTAAAAAAATACAGTTGTGTTGAGCTGTCTTCTGTACTGTAAGTAATATCCTTTACAAGCAGTCTCACATTTGGAGAAAAGTGGCTCTTCGATATTAAGTGTATGGGCTATAGCTCTGAACGTTTATTTGTTTTGCAGTGTGACATATGTGACTGAACCAGGGACTTTCAGAACTAAAAGCAAGAGACAATTCTTCACCTAAAAAGCCAAGGCTCTCTAGTTGAGGGATATAATGGGCTCCTACCCGCTCAGGTATACAGGGAGACTTATAACTTACATTCATCAGTTGGTTACATGAGTAATTGCCTTTATAAACAATCTGATATTTTAAAAGGCTAATACATTTTTAAAAAAAATCAAATATAAGCCACATAGTTCAATCTGATGCAAGCTGAAGGCTGTATATATTCATCTTGGCTGAATCTATGCTGCTGGGTACCTGAAAGTCTCCCTTCATCATTGCAACCAGTGCAGCTCCAGTAGTGGTAGCAAGAGTGGGAGTGGCAACCAGTGATGTCATGTAGATCTCTTTCAAGCAGGGTTAGAGGAACATCACCAGCATGGCAGGAACATCACCAGCAGCTGGTCTTCAGCAGTGCTGCCAGTGCTGGTGGAGTTGCACTGGTGCCATTGCAGTGGTGGAGGGAAAAAAAAAAAAACAATCCACTGTATACAAGCCCAGTTGAAATGATATCACCCATGTGCAGGATGAACAGAACCAGGGGAGTATAATGTTTTCTACCACCAAGTTCATAATGATTATTTTCACAAGAAGTCACATTTAATTTCCTAAGATTTCACATTAACAACTACACGTTCATGTTTCCAGCATTTCCCCACAACAGATCCCCTTCCTAAAAAGCACACACTGGATTTAGATTAGGAGCTGAGGATAATTTTTATTAACCATATAGAATTCAAACATTGGTTTGGATTTCATATGTTGGTTTTCATAAATGTCACTTATTTTTGTGTACACAGCCATTTCTCCAAGTGTAGGAAATCCATCTACAATGATACTGTTCTAATGACTAATGAAACTAAGCAGGCTACAGGTTGAACCTCTCTAGTTCTGCACTCTGGTCCGGCAACATCCATGGTCTGGCATGATTTTAGTTAGTTGGATGCCCACTTATCATGGGTGTAGCAAAGTTTCATGTGGTCCCATAAAGGTTGTTTACAGCCACCAGTCCTGGCACCCAGTGTTCTCTTCTATTATTTAGCTCTAATTTGCCCCTTAAATGTCTTCTAAGAGCCCAGTAAGCAGTGGAAGTGTTGGTAATGCTGCTAGACAGTATTGACCTTCTGTGGTTCAGCAAATTCTCTGGTTCTGCACCAGTCAAGTCCCAAGGGTGCCAGACTAGAGAGTTTCAACCTATAGTTTCAGTGTCCAAAATAAGGGAGAGAAAAAATTAATCCATTCTTCCTAGTTCTAATTACCCTGGCTGATAGTATTATGGAGCCTCAGATGCATTCTTTTATTTCAGTTATAATTGACATAATTTTGTAAAAATAAACCACATAAGCTATTGGCTATAAAAAATTCCTTCAATGATAGTTTAACATACAAACATTTTCTGATAAATCTGTGACATTCACAAAACATAATCTTTGTCTTTTATTTTCACTACTATTATATATTATGTATCTACCCGTCAACTACAAGTTAGTGTGCTATGTAAAATATTAAAAGTACAATACTATTCAGTAAGTACATAAATGATTTGAGCAGAGTAAACTGAATTATTTTATCAGAAGGTGAAAATAATTAAACTGCAGTATTTCAGCTGAAAATGATTAAGGTTATTGAAACTTAGAATACCTCAAGCTTCTTGGAAATTTTAGCCCAATCATCTGTCGTCATGTTAGAAGAATCAAGCAATGGTGAAAGTTCCAGAATTGTATAGATAATTCTTTTATTTTGTTTAGAGAGACTGAAAAAGACAAGAACACGAAAAAGTTTTAGGTAATAAATTATTGTGTTCTCATAATTTTTTTAACCTTTAACTGAATGAATGATCCATAATAAGCATGTTTTTGGTTCACATATGTAAAAATATGCAGTGGAATACTGACATCAAGTTTGGTGGGCTAGGTCTAAGGCCATGATAGACCTTTTCTGCAAAGGTAGAAGTGCACCAAACCATTAGCTCCTGACCCCAAATATAAAGGGATTCAAAATCATAACTTTTGCTTTTTCTATAAAGTCAAAAAAAATAGACAGGCAGGGGGAAAAAAAACATAGCTTACTGGAGTCACCTTACCAAGCCCTAGTGCCCAAGATTAAAGGTTAGTTTATTAAACTCTACTTTAGAAAGTTACTAACATTTTAAAGTAATTCCTAAGGTTGGTCAAGCAGAGCCACAAGCCTCCCACTGCCTGTGGAGTACAAACAGTTGTTGGATCAGCTTTGAAAAGCCTTCTGATGCTTGCCATGGTGTTCAAGCACTTACAATAGGTGAAGTGTTTCACTCCTTAGGACTCCCCTGAATGGGACTCTTGTGGACCTCATACATCTATGTGAAAGGAGAGGGCAATGAACCCTTGATGTGCTCCCCCTACAGCTCCCACATAAGACTTTAGAAACAAATCTCTTCTCCTTCAGATCTTAATTAGCCCCAAGAAGTGGGATATCACTTACTGCAGACTTCAGGGAATCAGATAGAATGTCCACTATTTAAGATCCCTTTCTCGCCCCTGATTCTCATTCAGAATGTGTGTGTATTTTTAAGAGGAGATTCTCACACCAAAAGGCACGTAAGCAGGGAAATTTGTTAAAGTGGATTTAAGGTTGAGAGTACATGCTAGTAAAGACTCTTAAAAGGAAACTAAGACACAAGGTTAGACTGGCAAGAAATCCAAAAATTTGAAACCATGGTAGTGCACTGTTAATATTTTCCATTTCAACTAGCTTCCTAAATGACAAGCTATAGACATACAAGAAGTGAGTTGAAAATTTAAAAAAGTATTTGAAGGCCAGATTAGCTTTTTCTTCTGAGCAGATATTTTCCGAGTTCCCTTGGAATAGAGATGTGATTCCCACATGGATGGGCATTTGCATGATGATCTATGCAGAAATTACAAGGTGAGGTTCTTTGCCCTGTATCATGAAGGAAGTCAGACTAATGGTCCCTTCTGTCCCTAAAATCTATAAATTTGACTATTATGATAAATTAATCAGCCCTGGCTGGGTTGATTTAGTTGGGATTGGTCCTGCTTTGGGCAGGGGGCTGGACTTTATGACCTCCTGAGGTCTCTTCCAGCTCTATGATTCTATAATTTAAGGATTTGGTACAATCTGATGCTTGTTATGAACAGAAGGGAGGTCCATATTTTATTTTCAAAAAAATGTTTACATTTACAGTGCAGTAGTACTCACAGCTCCAATAATAATCAGGAGCTTCAGGGGGTAGCTGAGTTAGTCTGTTACAGAAAAAAAAAACCCAGCAAGCAAATGGTCTGGTAGCACTTTATAGACTAACAAAACATGTAGATGGTATCATGAGCTTTCGTGGGCACAGCCCACTTCTTCAGATGACCAGAGTTATGATTAGAGGATAAGGAAACTCAAAACAAATAAGAGAAGGGAACCGGGGAGGAGACGGGGGAGAGAAAGATGTTCGGTCACCCACCCCCCTACCTCTATGCATAAAGTATCAGGAGAAAGGGTGCTAAACCTGAATAGATAAAGATCAAAGTCAGTGGATGGATAAGGCAGGAAGAATACCATTCAGAAAGTAGTTAGCACCTACTAATAATCAGGATCCCCATATGCTAGTGCTATACAAAAACATAATGAGCCCTTGTTCTGAGCAACTTACAAGAAAAAAATCAGATTTATACCATTCTTACATAGACGTTTTATAAACCAATAGAAATATGCCAAGACAGGAGTCAATTATCCCCAGTTGCCATCAATCTATCATAATTTGGCTAATTTATTATAGGTACCTTGGCAAAGGTAGGTCAGCATATTTGAACAATTTATAGTATGAATGGTCAAACAAACTTTCCAATGTTTTCAATCTTGCATAACTGATACGCTGTAACTAAGATGTAGGGTTTTCACAGGTTTTGCTTTGTTAATGTTAACCATTATGTACACAAACGCTCTCTATGAAAGCAAGGTTTTAAAACAACTAGAAGGGAAGTCAACAGTAGTGAGAAAAGATCTTCTGCATCAGTTCCATTTAAAAAAAGAAGGCATATGACAGTACGGTCAGTCAACTCTTTTACTAGTGGAGAAAACAGCTCCACAAAAACAAATCTTTAAGTCAACAGAATGTTCCATTTCATTACATTAGGTTTATCAGACTCATCTACAAACTCCACTAAATGTTCCTATTTTTTCCCTCTCAAACATAATATTTTTAATTGCATAGTTAAAATAAAGCTAAGGAATCGTGGGAATATAAAAGGGACAATGGCAAACAACATTTTGCAGCACTAAATGTTGTGAAATAGTGATCAATAATACCAAAGAACAAACAAGATTTTATATAAAGTACTTCATCTGACACATTTTTTTAACTATGTATTTATACATTTGTTTTTCCCCATCTGTACATGGGACATGAAATGCACTTAGGACACAGAGAGCACATCAGTAGAGTTCCACTATCTTTCCATTCATCTAAAAGTGTCTTTAATAAATTATTTAATCATAAGCCCTCAAATAAAAAGTAATCTACCAGTAAAACCATATTTTTCTTAAAATAATCAAAATTTGTAACAAAATCAAGTGTATCACAAACTCATGTTAGTATTGTCCCCTTTGGGCTTTTCTTTGTTCTATTTTAGGTGCTTCAATTTATTGAAGTCTTAGTGCAAAGATCTAAACTAAAAAATGTAATGTATTTGCTTTATGGGTCTCCCAATTTTTCCCTCATGATTTTCCATAATTAACCTCAATTGCCACTCCTTGTAGCAAACAAGCCATAATTCTATTAAACTTTTCAAACATTTTGTAAAATATACTCCTGTAAGCTGTGTGCACTGTAACATGTTTACAGGGAATCAGTAATTTGTCACAGCTGGGGAGGACATCAAATTAGCATATGGTCCTCTAAATAAAACCTATAAGCCTGTTAATCATTGCCCAACAGTTAAAAAGTCATGCAGATTAATTATAAAGCCGTATATAATTACCGTGATGTTGAATACATTTGGGGAAGAAATAAACAATTGGTTTTTAAGAGTTCTAAATATCAGCAGAAACTGTAGAATTAAAGCTTGAAACCAGTTCATTGCATTAATTAGCTGCTGCTACTTCTTCAGCTATACATTGAAGCTAATTCACATAGTGCTATATACAATATGCATAGTAGCCACTGTTAATGAGCTAGTGCCATCATAAATGAGCTCCCATGGATAGACAAAGTGTATATTGGGGGAGGGAAGTTTTAAGCTTTATGACATACACTGATTGTGAGAATGTTGATTTGAAGAATGTTTCTTAGATTTTGATAACTATTTTGTAATGTAATTGTGTTTGGCAACTGGTGGAAATTGTTTTAGGCACTATGTAACTCAAAAATATGAGTACTCCTGTAGCACCTTAAAGACTAACATATACATACATACAGAGAGAGAGAATATCCTGAGTTTTCATGGGCAAAACCTACTTCCCCAGATGCGAGTGGAGAAAAAAGGAAGAACCTCTCTATTTATAACAGAAAAGGAAGAGAGAGGGAGAAAAAAAACCTGTCAATAGTACTGGTGCCAATGAGGCTGAGTGGGCTGTAAGTGTCCAATACTTAGCTTTTGATGTCATTTGGATGTTGAATATCCCATACTTAGCTTTTGATGTAATGGCCCATCCAGTTTATGTAGCTCAAAGGAAGTACACACTGTATTATGGTTATGCCATTCTGATTTTAAAGTAATGTAATATAAATCTTTTTACTAACCCCACAGTTATTTTTCTTGTGGTTTTAACACATCATCTGTCAGAACGCAAATGAAAACAACTCCACTAGATAGGCCAGGAACCTGAAGAGATTTTATTTTCCACGCATTCTCTCTTGATCCCCCTGCCCTCACGAAGAAAAAGCCTAAGAACTAGTGGGCTATTAAAAAAACATTCTTATGCAACTTGTCAGAGGGTCACAAAGGGTGAAATGTGCATTCTCCAGGGTCAAGTGCCCCTCCAATAGTTGCTTGGGGGAAGAGGAAAGGGCAAGGCCAGAGCCAGAAGGAAATGAGCAGGCCCAAGTCTCTTCCAGCCAGGAGGAGGGTACCAGGGTGCAGTGCAGTAGTTGACAGGGAGAGGGCCTTTCACCCAGGCTCAGCTTCTGGGGACTGTGACAGAGTGAGTCAGACCTCCATCCCAAGGCATGCTTCGCATCTCCTCCTGTCCCTAGCAGTCAAGCATGGACAGGAGCAGGCTGTCACTGCTCCCTTGCCAGGCTCAGTTTCTGGGGACAGAAGCTGACTCTGCAAGCAGGAGGACTGGTGTCGGACTAAGTTGGCCACTGTCACAGAAGCCAAGCCTGTGTGGGCGGCCATAAGGCATTCTCCCAAGCAGTTGCTATGCAGCTCCAGGCTGCAGCTGGGAGCGGCGCAGGAGCCTGGCTACTGGAGAAAGCAGCTGAATATGCCAGAGAGAAGCTGGCACAGTGGGAGGACAGAGCCCCCCAGGTAATGAGGTGGGGATGGGGAGAGCGCAAGTGTCTGGGGCTGAGCAGGGAGGATTCACAAGAGGAGGTCATGTGGGGAGGGCACATGCCCTCCACTTTAACTGGTGCTCCCCCAGTATGAGGAGACACCAGTTGTCCACTGCAAAACCCAGAACTTACTTTCATCATGGCAAGGGAGGAAGAGGAAGCAGAAGTGAAAAGGTAACAAGAATATATTAATAATTAATATAAAGTATACATTAATGTCAGATGCCCTTAGTAAAATATTATAATTTAAACTGCTGAATTCGAGTCTTATCTGATTAACTTACCAAATAACTTATTTTTAGGCTCTCAAAACTGATCAAGAAGAGTATGATTTTGTCTTCTACCAATTAAAAGAGTCATGATTAACGTCCCACTAAGGCATAACTTACTTTAAGAGTGCTAAAATGGTATCTACCATATTCAATTAATATCAAAAGAAGAACATTGGGTTCTTTACATTAAGGTTTCAATGTAGTTTACAAAAATGTCTCAAAATGAGGGGGAGATTTTTTTTGGAGGGAGGGGGGGGTTACTTACGGAAGCACCAAGGTTTCATCAGGAAATCTGGATTCTTTTGCATATACATCATCATGCAGCATTGGCATTTTTTTCAGAGCCTTTGCTAACTTATTAGCTTCAGGAGCAAGTCCTAGAAAACAAAGGGGAAAAAACTACTGATGAAACATTCATTTTTCTGTTTTCCCTCTAAGGGCATGTCTACACTAGGAAATTATTTTGAAATAATTCATTTTGAAATAACTCCCGAAATAACTATTTTGAAATAAGCTTATTCCCCAAGGAAAGCAGGAGTTATTTTAAAATAACCAACCCCTTATTTCGAAATAACAGGCATGGTGGGTGTGTCTAGACTACATCCCTCTTTCAACAGGGACGTAAATAAGACACTTAGAAATAGCAAATGAAGCCGAGATTTGAATTTCCTGTGCTCCATGGCGCTCTTTTGAAAAAGCGCTATTCTGAAACTGAAACTGCAGTCTAGATGCAGTTCTTTCAAAAATAGAAGCCTTTTTCAAAAGATCCTGTTTAAAAAAAAAAATGAGGTTTACAGGATCTTTTGAAAAAGGCTTCTATTTTTGAAAGAACTGCATCTAGACTGCAGTTTCCATTTCAAAATAGCACTTTTTCAAAAGATTGTCATGACACAATTATGCAAGTGAAGCGTGGAAAATTCAAATCCCGGCTTCATTTGAAATTTTAAAGTGTCTAATTTACATTCCTCTGTTGAAAGAGGAATGTAGTCTAGACACACCTGTAGTGTAGATGCTCTGTTTGTTATTTAGAAATACGGGGAATAGACCAAGGCTTACTGATTTTTCTTTGGCTTCTTCTCCCCTGCACTGGCATTCTATATATTTTCTAGCACAGATTTAACCCAAGCATATCTACTCCAAAAAGAATGCACACTTTTAAATAGACTTTGTTAGAAAATTTTGAAGTAACTGTTATCATTGCTTAAACCTTAACATGATCAAAAAGGAGAAAACATTTTGCTTATATTGCCTACCCTTCCAGATCAGTTTTAAATCAATCAGTTACAAGCAGATGTAGACGTTCTCCACAAATCTGAGCAATTGTAAATAAATTCTTTGTAATTATTTTCCTGACACAGACCAGGATCAGGAAAACAAGAGAACCAGTTGGGGGGGGGGAAAATCATGTTATCTCCTTCCTACACTCTCAACTTTGATTCCTTATCCATAAGGCTCTCAGCTACCAATGACATTCAGACATTAGCTTTGTAGCCAAAGAGTTTACATGAGGCAACTATGAAAGGATTGGGTTATATAAATTTAGTGTCACAGAAATTTGTTTATTCCACTATCCAAGTCTTTAGGAAGTCCTATATCTTTCACCAATAACCATCACATAGGAATTTCAGAAGCTATTAGTGTTCTGAGAACTATGATGCTTTCATCTGCGTACATCTAGATTTTTCTTAATTTGAGACACAAATTTGGGTATGAAGTCCGATTTTAAGCTAGACAGAAATAATAATTCTAGGAGGTCCAAACCTAATTCCAAAGCCTGCTCAAAACTTTAGAAAAATGTATGTCCTATTAGACGTTTCCTCAGACACAATTTAACTCTTTTTATTGGCATCATTATCCAATTCAACACAAACTTAACACAAATAAACATATTTCAACTTCCCAGAATTCATTCTCAGACTACAGAAATCAAATTCGCAACCCAGTTTTTAGACTACCGTTAGTGCCAATTAGTTGTTGCTCAGTCATTTTCTTTGATTTTTTACTTCCTAGCTCTTTCAGTTTCTGACCTAAGCATCATATTTGAACCAGCATCTACAATTTCTCTGTTTTTCAGATTCAATACCAAAGTCTCTTTAATTGTTATTTAGATGCCCAAATAAGCAGAGAAACTGTGTGCATTCTAGGTAATGCCAAGTTATGCCCATTTAGCTTGGAAATCTGTACGCTTTCCAAACTGAAGGAAAGACTGATTTTAAGCACTTGCTAATCTCTTTTCTGGCTTGCTTAAATTAAATAACAGGCTTTTCATGTACAACTTTCTCACAAGATAGCAACAGCATTTAACTGAACTTGTTTGAACTACTGCCAGAGTACTTTGGTTTACAAAATGCATTTAACATACTTTCCAAGCTTCAGACATTTCACTACAGCCAGTCCCCGAGTTACGAACAGTTACAGACCAAACACTTGGCAATAACGCCAAATGTTCATAAGTCAGACTCCATTGATTTACATTGCAACCGCGCTGTTCATAAACGTGGGTCGCGTTTGTAACTTGGGGACTGCCTTTACGACCGCAATGTAATGGGTCGTTTTTAATGGGAAGTTTGGTCATAAATGCGAACAGTCGTAAATCGACCATTCGTAAATCTGGGACCGGCTGTATTTCAATTGGAATCTCCTCCCATAAAGTAGATCTGCTCCTAACTTCATCACAAATGGCCACTTCTGCTATGCCGTTCCATAGAATCATTACACTCTACATAGCAGCACAGCCCATGGTTTCAAGTGTCTTGGGCTTCCATTTGCTAGTTTTAATTTTACAGCTAAATCCAGGCACGTGGTCAACTTACCCCAGGTATCTATAGTGGGATCTGGACAGAGACACATTAATAGTCTCGACTCTTTTGCTAATCTGTCTTGATTTAAATGGACTTCTGGTTGATTCATCTTTATAGTATGTTCCAAATCACACAGCAAGAGCTGGCATCAAATTCAAGTAACTGTCTTTTTGCTAGGCTTAATTCTATAGACGTCTCAGACCCACTTAATATTGAAACTGTTCCTCTCCCACACTCATTTGTTTATCACAGTGGTTACCACCCTGTGACCCTTGACATAGACCAGGATCAATAAAAAGGGGAGAGCCATCTGAGCATATCCAGGTTAAGAAAATGTATTCTGATTCAACACCATGCTCATGTGTGAATCAGCCCAACACTACAGCGAAGAGACAAAAGGTGCCACCTCCTTAAATGCCTCCCATTACCAGACCCAATTAATTCTTCTGAGGGCCCAAGAATATTAGATTTTGTGAGGGCCCCTAGACTCTGGGGTGGGGCCCAAATCAGGGGGTCAGCATGCTAGAGGGAGCTGTGGGTTGAGGCAGGAGGGTGGGTGCAGGAGGGGGTTAGGGCTCCAAATTGGGGTGTGAGCTCTGGGGAGGGGCTGGTGATGAGACATTTAGAGTGCAGGAGCAGACTCCAAGATGGGGGCAAGGGCCTTGGAGTATGGGAGAGGGCTCAGAGCAGGAGATTGAAGTGGGAGTGTAGGTCTGGGTAGGAGCTGAGGTGAAGGAAGGGGCTCAGGACTGGGACTCTGGGTTGACATCCAAGGTCTGGGAGGGAGTTAGGGTGCAGGAGTGGGCTAGGGCAGCAGATTGAAGTGTGGGCACTTATTTGAGGCAGCTCCCATTAGTTAGCGAGGAAATAGGTAGCTCAGTACAGCCCTACACTTGCCTGCAGGCCCCATTTCCCACACTCCAGTTGATTGCAATTCCTGGCCAATGGAACTGTGGGGATGGAGCATCAAGGTGAGGGAAGCATGGGGACAGAGCTTCCTGGAGCTCATGGTAACATGGTTCCAGCTGGGGGGAGAGAGAATGTCAATGTGCTGAGCTACTTCCCCCCTCACTCCCCTCCCCCAGGAAGGGCTGTCCTAGAACACAGGGACTTTAGTGGTTGCAGCCCAAGGCCCTGCCCTAGCCCAGGGCATCAGCCTCTAAAGCCCCTTTTAAATCTGGCCCTACCCACCACTTCCAGTGCAGCAGCTGTGACCAGCAGCTCAGAACATTCTGAACAGAACAGCTGCCCTTTCGCTACTACAGCTGTTCAGCGGCTCCTCTGCTGTATCACCAGAACCAAATGGCATTCACCCAAGAGTTCTGAAAGAATTCAAATGTCAAATTGCAGAACTACTAACTGTGGTGTGTAACCTACCTTTAAATCAGCTTCTGTACCTGATGACTGAAAGATAGTTAATATGATGCCAATGTTTAAAAGAGGCTCTAGAAGTGACCCTGGCAATTATGGACGGGTAAATCTAACATCAATACCGGGAAAATTAGTTGAAACTTTATTAAATATTATAATTGTCAGATACACAGAACATAATTTGTTGAGGAAATGTCAACACGGTTTCTATAAAGGGAAATCATGCCTTACTAGTCTACTAGAGTTCTTTGAGGGCATCAACAAGCATGTGCACAAGGCGGATCCAATGGATATATAGGCTTCCTTGTGAAAGGCTCTTAAGTAAAGTAAATTGTCATGGGTTAAGATGGAAGGTCCTCTCATGGATTGATAACTGGTTAAAAGTTAGGAAACAAAGGCTAGGAATAAACTTAGTTTTCAGAATGGAAAGAGGTAATTAGTGTTGTCCCCAGGAGTCCATACTGGGACCAATCCTATTTAACATATTTGAAATGAAATGATCTGGAAAAAGGGGTAAAACAGTGATATGACAAAATTTGCTTATGATACTAAACTGCTGAAGATGGCTAAGATCAAAGAAAACTGTGAAGAGCTTCAAAAAGATAGTGAAGACCAAAGCAGATTGTGAAAAGATTCAAAAGGATTTCATGAAACTAGGTGACTGGGCAACAAAATAACAGATGAATTTTAATGTTGGTAAATGCAAAGTAATGCATATTGGAAAATCAAATCCTACTTATGCATAGAAAAGGATAAAGACTAAATTAGCTATTATCACTCAAGAGAGAAATCTTGGAGTCATTGTGGATTGTTCTCTGAAAACATCCACTCAATGTACAGAAGCAGTCAAAAAAGCAAACTATGTTAGAAATACAGGCAGTCCCCGACTTACGCGGATCCGGATCCGCACTTACGAACGGGGATCTCTCGCCCCGGAGCTCGCAGGCAGCAGTCCCACCACCTCGACCTCCGGGGCGAGAAAAGCTGCTCCCGGTGCCCCTGGTCTGCTGGGGACCGTCTCCAGCAGACCAGGGACACCGGGAGCAAAGTCGCAGCGGCGGCGGGGTCCTGTGCCTCTGAGGCTTTGCCAGAGCAAAGCCTCAGAGGCGCAGCACCCCGCTGCCGCTGCGGCTTCGCTTCCCGTGTACCCGGGCTGCTCGGGGG